TTATGATAAATACCACAAAGCCTTTGGCTTCCATGCCTTCCTTAAGATCCCTGTTCTCGTGGCGAGACTCTTAAATCAATCAAATACCTCCAATGAGCGTCAGAAAGTGATAGCGGGACAGCGATTGCAACGCCACTTCCGAAACGAACCTACCCGTATAGTGGCGAATGGATCTAGGGTGTTAATCGTAATAGAAAGGGATATAAAACCCTGGATGACCGAGGATGTCATTTTGCCCACGTATGCTTGATTCTATTTATGTCATGTGCTTTGTTTATATCATTTCTTTAATAATACTAATGTACAAAACTGGCGGGCAAAAGAAAGTATACACCCATGTTTGATGGTGGTGTTACGTGTGGTATGAGCAGCAGGGGTACCCGCTAACACCACAAATAACAATTACAAGAATCACACAACAATCTCTGAAGTTTAAAGCTAGATTTAATAATTAAAACAAAGATAAGTATATAACAATTCTCAGTTACTGGGCAATGCACTCATACACATCTATTTAGGCAAAGCAATATGGCAAATGTGCAATATAGATAACAGTCACCTCAGATTTCTTGACATCACATTCCCAATGAATTCCATTTCACATTGTTCCAAACTTATATTTCACAGTTCACAGGATAACTGGGTAGCAACAGTTTCCTCCTTCGAAGCGTCGACCTTCTAACTTTGTCTCCGGACATAACGCTGGGCTGAACTGCCCTCGTTCAGTTAAACCAAATTTCTCCCTCTCCAATTCTTTTTCCTTCCTCCTTTCTGTTCGATAACTTGCCCTCATATAGTAAACACATTTCAAAGTAAGCTATCTATCTACTTCAGCACACAGAAGTAAAACAAACAAGAAATTGTTATTCGATGGAGATGTATTTCATACGGGTGTCATAGTTTTTGTCCTCAGGTTTGCTGAGTTTCGGCGACTGTTTTCACCCTAGTAACGTTAATGCTAATGTTTGTAAATCTCGTCAAATATGGGGTCACTACTTATCACTAGTTTGGGTATTTAAAGTCCGAGTTTTCGTATGCAGATCAAGGCTTGTCCAATATGGTCAAGATGATGAATGAAGGGATATACCTCAGATCAGCCAATCAGATCACGGGTTACAGCAATGACGCATTATGCATTAGTCTGATGGTTTGAGTGAGTGAGTTTTGGTTTTAACGCCGCTTTTAACAGTTTTCCAGTGATATCGCGGCGTTTCAGCTTAATGTGGGAGGAATGCCCGAAGTGATGCAGGTCTCAGACGTTTACCACTTCGGTGAAACCCACGAGCACGGGTATGGTGCTGACAAACCTAGAAACATGATCGGGGCGAACCGGGATTCGAACCCACAAACAGAGGTTTCAGGCGTGCCCAAGGGACACAACTTTGCACGGCGAATCGCGGCGCCTCAGACGACTGGGCCACCCGTGCCCCCTGATGTTTTGAAAACATATACGGGGCGGTCGGGTAGCCTAGGGGTTAAGGCGTAAGCACGTCACGCCGAAGACCCGGGTTCGATTCCCGACATGGGTACAATGTGTGAAACCCATTTCTGGTGTCCCCCGCCGTGATATTGCTGGAATTTTGCTAAAAGCGGCGTAAAACCATACTCACTCACTCACTGAAAACATATACACTATGTAATATTTAACTCCTCGGGACTAAGGGAACTGTGTCGGGTTGTCAAATGTTCGAGACAAGCAGAGAGATGAAACAAGAACATGGTACCGTCGGGTATTCTACCGGAATCATGATATCACATCGTCTTAATGGTAGATTGAATTTATGAAGTTCGAGCTAACGAGGTTTTACTGTAACAAGGACACTTAACAAATAAATGACAGCTGGGTTTTATTAAAAGATGGCGAATGACGGCCATATTGGATTTCTCACTTGTAGCAGCACGTGATAGTCATTTTATACCTCGCTCTTCAGATGCAAAACAATGTGTTTCAGAACGACGTTAACAAACTGAACAACCTTATTGAAACCGATGACGTGTTTCCAGAAAAATAGCCCATATTGGAAAACAAGGCGCCATAAGCAGTAGACGCCCGAGACTGGACATGGCCAGGTGGTAGTCATATCGGAACTCGGCTTCGCTTTGATTTCGTGACGGAACAAAGCCACATGGATCTGATATGGTGACTAATACTTGATGCTTACAAATTATTCTTTATTAAATGAACGTAACTAGTATTGACTTTTCATAATTCAGAAATGTTTATTTGTATATATATATTTATACAGGGAAGCCCCTGTTAGTCTGGACCCCGTTAGATCGGAAACCTTGTTATACTGGACCATGTTTGTCCGGTAACTCTTTTAGGCTGCACCCCGTTTGTCCGGAAACCTTGTTATTCTGGACCCTGTTTGTCCGGAAACCTTGTTAGGCTGCACCTCGTTGGTCCGGAAACCCTTCTAGGCTGGACCTCGTCAATCCGTAACCATATTGGGCTGGACCCCGTTTGTCCGAAAACCCAGCAAGACTGGACGCCATTTTTCCGGACACCCTGTTATACTGGACCACGGAAACCCTGTTAGGCTGGACCCGGTTTTTTTGTCAGGAAACCCCATATTCCGAACGATTACTGTTAGGAACGTATGTGAACATAATTCTGCAATAATGATATCCTAATACATACGATTTAAGTGAGAAAAGCACCGCACGTATAAATAGAGGTTGAACAGAGCTAAGTTTCTTCTTAAGAGTTTTGTATTTAAACATACCTAATGTCTATCGCGTACGTTCTAGGTACCTCCCAGGGTAGACGCAAGGAGCCAGAACTGGCATAAAATGAAATATTCAAAATAATTAAAATCCCCGGAGATGCTGATGATATAGAATGTGTGCGGCAGCCCTTCTTGAAAACACATCAACATGACGTGGAAGCATCTCGTGGAAAGATTCTGGCTCTTATCACTGAGGGAGGGGGCTGTTGGCTCGGATGCTAGGTAGGTTAAGGTAGGATGGGATTAGCAATGAGGCCGTGAAGGAGTAGGTGAGTGAGTGGGTTGGCATGTCTGTTCTAATGTTGATGATTTTCTGTATTACGAGCCAATGCTTTAGCACCTAAACTATCCCATATGACGATTGTTCACTGTATGTTCGTGAGGTAGGTTAAACGCCGCTTCCAACAGTATTTCATTTATATCACGGCGTTCAAGCTCCATGAGGGGCGAAAGAATGACGCCTTGAAAATATTTGGATAGGGTAAGTGCACAGTATTTGAACAGTGAGTGAGTGAGTGAGTGAGTGAGTGAGTGAGTGAGTGACTGAGTGAGTGCGTGGGTGGGTGGTTGGGTGGGTGGGTCGGTGAGTTGGTGGGTAAGTTGTGTTTAACGTCGCTTTCAAGGGTATTCAACTTATATCTTATATCGTGTCATCTTGACGTGAGAGGAACGCCCGAAGTGATGCAGGTCTCAGACGTTTACCACTTCGGTGAAACTCACAAGCACGGGCCTGGTGCTGACAAACCTAGAAACATATTCGGGCTGAACGGGATTCGAACCCACAATGATAGGTTTCTGGCGTGCCCAAATGACGCAACTCTGCACAGCGAATGGCGGCGCCTCAGACGACTGGCCCACCCGTGCCCCTAGAAGCAACGATCAACGGATCCGAAAAGATACCATCAGCCATGCAAATGGACAGCCTCGGTGGATAAAGCGTCTGACCGGAGAGCGGAAGGTCACAGGTTCGACCAGCGCCGTCGTCATACCAAATGACGTTATACTGTGTCTGACGTTACAGCGGTACGTGTTGTATACTGTGTCTGACGTTACAGCGGTACGTGTTGTATACTGTGTCTGACGTTACAGCGGTACGTGTTGTATACTGTGTCTGACGTTACAGCGGTACGTGTTGTATACTGTGTCCGACGTTACAGCGGTACGTGTTGTATACTGTGTCTGACGTTACAGCGGTACGTGTTGTATACTGTGTCTGACGTTACAGCGGTACGTGTTGTATACTGTGTCTGACGTTACAGCGGTACGTGTTGTATACTGTGTCCGACGTTACAGCGGTACGTGTTGTATACTGTGTCCGACGTTACAGCGGTACGTGTTGTATACTGTGTCCGACGTTACAGCGGTACGTGTTGTATACTGTGTCTGACGTTACAGCGGTACGTGTTGTATACTGTGTCCGACGTTACAGCGGTACGTGTTGTATACTGTGTCCGACGTTACAGCGGTACGTGATGTATACTGTGTCCGACGTTACAGCGGTACGTGTTGTATACTGTGTCTGACGTTACAGCGGTACGTGTTGTATACTGTGTCTGACGTTACAGCGGTACGTGTTGTATACTGTGTCTGACGTTACAGCGGTACGTGTTGTATACTGTGTCTGACGTTACAGCGGTACGTGTTGTATACTGTGTCTGACGTTACAGCGGTACGTGTTGTATACTGTGTCTGAGTTGTGCATGTTAAACTGCAGCGGGTTAGCACTATAAAACCCACATTGGTCCGGATCATTACACACACACACACACAAACAGACATGTGAATGCACGTCGCTATATAAGTGCAATAATCTTGAACGCGCCGTTAAACCCGATTTACACAACATGCAAATAAATAGAATATTCTCAAAGTAGGAACAACGTCAATCTTATACGTTGCGCCACTAAATCAAAGAAAGTCTGCATATGGGAAGGATTTATTTTGGGTAGTTAAAGTGTTGGATATTACAGATGCCTTGTTCCACTTCTGTAAAGTCTTTAGGGTAATCAGTACAAGGCAAGACTGGCGCATACCTGAACAGCATTCCTTCTGGTGGTCTGAAAACCACAACAAGGCTTTATGAAAAATAAAAATATGTTGATGACGTTCGTAGTATCTCGCTTGCCTTTATTGTCATATAGATAATTGAAACACATTATGGTAACTCGGGTAGACTTTAAGGCGTCACAAACTATCTGGCAGTATTCTACGTCACAATAGCCGTTACCGACACAGGACGAAAAACTCAGCTGCAGTTATTCAGTGCCGAGTCCTAGAAATTTGACATACGAGAGGCTCTAATTCCCTTGGCCCACGTCCAAAATTTGTCTTTTCAGTTCACGCGATCCTCACTTACTTTACATCCGGGTAATCAGAACGCGCATCGACGCACGTGGCTCCATCTCGCGCTGTAAGCTAGGCCACTTTGCTCAACGCTAGAGCGGCGGTAGCACTTCTGTGATACCAGCAGAGGTGTACACACATCAGGTAAGATCATTATTGTATCTCTATAACAATGTTGAATATGATGGTCGAGAAGATTTAGACTATGTCAACCTTGCAGTGTCAAGCCAGTGCAAAAGTATGGCATCAGATTTGTTATCAAAAACATATATTGGTCGCCAGTGGCACCGGCCTTAAGCTGCACTTTTATCAAAAGGGTTTTCTGACAAGCGAAACAGTATATGTATAGTGTAAAGGTAATTAACTGTCCGACAGTTAGGCTTTCAGAAGGAAGTGTTGAGACCACGATACCTTGGTTGTCTGTGAACCTGTTTCTATCAATATGTTAATATTCAAGTCTGGCATGGACGTTTCTACATAAATGTGTAAGGCGAGAGGAAGGGTTCTTGGATTTCCCCGAGTTACCGAATGGTTAATGTCAGAGGGAAAACGCTGTAGGGCAGGGCTAAAGTGTATTGAGTGCAGTGCAGAACGTATGCGTGAACAGAACCAGGCGCATACGAGACAGAGATCTAAAGATACATTAATTTAAAAAGGCGAAACCTCAATTCACTCAATACCCACCCCGTGAAATCCGGGTTAGAATTGGTCTTCAGCAACCTATGAAGAGTTCTTCAAACAACAAAAATAGTTCTCACCAAGAACGATGATGGCTTGTAAAACCTCCGCGAAGATCCGGGGTAGAATAGGTCTTCAGCAACCCGTAAAAGGCGACTATGCTTGTCGTAAGAGGCGACCAGCTGGATCGGGTGGTCAGGCTCTCTGACTTGGTTCATGCATGTCATCGTATCCAAATTGCGAAGATGGATGCTCGTGATGTCAATCAGTGGATTGTCTGGTCCAGATTCAAATATTTACAGACCGCCGACACATAGCTGGATATATTGCTGAGTGCGGCGTTGAACAATAAACAAGACACCCACTACCAACATGTCCAGGAGAAAAAAGACGCTCCCAAGAATAACCAAAACTCTTATATTCTCTCTTAAACCAAGATGGCTCTTACTTTTGGATTCGTCAAATTGGAATTCAAAACCAACAGCACTAGAGTTAAAATTAATTCAGCGTATTGAAAAAATATATAAATGTTTTGAATGTTTACAGTAGGATTAAATATCCAGATGCAGTGTATATCATTCTGTACAAGTCTTGTGGCTTACACAATTCGTACCCTCGTATACTCGCGATCGTCAGGGGAGCGACCTTTTCACTCCATGTAGAAGAGTACTACATGGAGACATGATGACACCACAAACTCGCTTCAAATTACAGTTGACTTGACCAGCATTGAAATGCAAAACCTGTCAGCTTGATATCCTGTTTCATGAACATATCCTGTGTCAGTCATTTTTTCAACATCATGCTTATAAACTTCCTTATTTCACATTTCCGCCGTGATACGCTTACAGCAATATAATATGGGTATTTACTCTTCGTCTTGATGGGCAAAGATCGAGGATTCAGTCTCCCATTTCAGCGACCACTTTCATTATCATAATTTGCGGATATAGTATATTCGCATGTGTATATCTGCGTCAATAACCAAATAACCAAAGTGCTCAAACAAGATGGAAGAGAAAAATTCTATGAGGGTTTCAACTTAAGAGGTGAGGTGAAATGGGGTTTAAGGTCGTGATCAAGATTATTGATCTTATAGCGACGTGCATGCACGTGCGCGCGCGCATGCGCCTGTGTCTACTTACCGGTTACTAGTATATGGTGCCAGCCCACTGAGATACCATGCCTCAGTCTAACATGGGTATCCCGCTCAGTTTCAGTATACTGTTTATACAGTCCTTGTTTTATTCTCTTATGCCGAGCGCCAGTTTGGACCCTTACTGAATTTGTCGCCTTTCATTGTGTAGTCTATGATCTATGATGTTTTAATGAGACAGAAATGTGCATATGTTTTAGGAATATATATACGATCAACCGATGACTTAGAGGTTCTGAATAATTTCATGATTAAATACTGATGTTTAACTGTGACGCGGATTATAGGTCGGTGTAATTCCTGCAAGGCCCTAATGGTTCCAATATGGTTACTTCATCACGTTTCATTGTTCAGTTCCTAAACGGGCAATGTTGAGTTTGTGAAAAGAAAACCGCTGTTCTACCATGCCCCCCAGTGCGTGAAGAGAGCCACCTAACGAGACGCTGTGTATGACGATGTTTCAAAACAAGATCCACATGGGGTTACAGCATAGCCAAATATTTTGCATTTGAGACAGTGATCGAAAACAGGGACAGAAAATCACTAACACAGCTTCATTTGAGTGATGTTTGGCCGAATCTAAATGAGCACATGTACTGGCAGACTCGAACAGTACCAGTTAACATAACAGATCTGGATTGTTTATGTTGATTATATCAACAAAACTACAACACAAATATTCCTGTTTATTGGAGTTGAAAAAATGTGTAATAGTTTACAGTCTCACAGAAACTATTCAAATAACATCCTTCGTGCAATGTTAGAAAGAAAACTGTCAGAAGTACGTGTTGAAAGCCTATCAAAATACAAGCAGTTTATCTTACTTTACACGTGAATGTCGGATTCTGATTGGCTGAGACCCATTCTATTATTTTCAACGTACTCCGCTAACATGTAAGGTACATTTCGCATGTTCCCCGCTCGAATTGCCGAACTGTTCGCATTATATTTGCAGCAAACCAACCTCAATTTTGTATCTCGAATTAATTATGTTTGACGCATATTACCGAATAATATAGATCTAAAGGGGAATAACTCTAATTTGTTTTCTGTCGTCTGCTGATGAAGGAATTGGATAAAAGCCTAACTGTGGTACTCTGACCGACTCGGACCAAAGCATACATGCATAAGACATAGCTGCAATATAATTAGGTGGGTGGTAAGATAGATTCGTTGTCCCTCGGGAGATACAGGTGTATTACCCTCGAGGCTCGGGGTACATAAACTAACAGAGGGTACATCCACCCATGACAGGGTCGCGGAATTGCCCAGACGTCTATGGCAACAATTGGCTGTGTAGAGTTGTGTCCCTTAGATGTGCCAGAATCCAGTCTTCGCCATCATAATCTGTATGTTTTCAGGTTTGTCCGCACCATGTCCGTGCTCTTGGTAAACGTCTGAGATCTGAACCACTTCCGGCTTTCAAAGTGACGCGCGATTCGGGTTAGAATAGGTCTTCAGCAACCCATGCTTGCCGTAAAAGGCGACTGTGCTTGTCGTAAGAGGTGACTAACGGGATCGGGTGGTCAGGCTCGCTGACTTGGTTGATACATGTCATCGTATCCCAATTGCGAGGATTCGATTCTCATGATATCAATCACTGGATTGTCTGGTCCAAACTCGATAATTTACAGACCGCCGTCATTATAGGTGGAATATTGATGAGTGCGGCGTTAAACAACAACAAAAAAACAACAACAACATAACAGCTAACTGTCATATAAGCAACGATCCACGAATCTGAGAAGATAACATCAGCCATGCAAATGGACAGCAAATGGATAGAGCGTCTGACCGGAGAGCAGGAGGTCAAGGGTTCGATCCCCGCCGTTGTCATACCAAATGACGTTACAACGCACATGGGTGAGTGAGTGAGTGAGTGAGTGAGTGAGTTGGGTTTAACACCGCTTTTAACAATATTCCAGTTATATCACGGCGTGTCAGCTTAATGTGGGAGGAAAACCCGAAGTGATGCAGGTCTTAGACGTTTACCACTTCGGTAAAACCCACGAGCACGGGTATGGTGCTGACAAACCTAGAAATATAATCGGGGCGAACCGGGATTCGAACCCACAATCATAGGTTTCTGGCATGCCCAAAGGGACGCAACTCTGTACAGCGAATCGCGACGCCTTTGACGACTGGGCCACCCGACTGCCCCCACAACGCACACGGAATATCCTATATTTATTATATACTTTTTGTGTAGTTGTCTACGGGAAAAATTAAATTATTTCATAACAAATGTAAAACCTTGAAAGGTATTGTATTTGCGATTAAAAATTAGTTTCGTGTTTGCATAATCTTAAAAAATATAAACAAAAGTAACCAGTATTAAGGGTCACGAAAATTCTTTATCATACATGTAGTTATGATCATATACAAAATCACTTCAACAAAACATTTTCCTGAAAACTACGAGACCGCTGTTGGAAGCGAAAGAATACACGCTGGTCAAGTAACAATAATGGCGCTTTGCGAAACGAACAGTCTCGATTGACGAGTTAAATGAGAAGTTTACAGTTTATAACGAAATATTTTCAAGAGAATAACAAACAGCATGAAGCGATATTAACTGCATAAATGACGAGGTGTCATTATGTTGCCCTGTCAGTGTGGAACTAACGTTAAAAGGCAGTCAACAGTTTGTGTACGGGCTAGACACCCACGATAAAGGGAGATAATTTGAGTTGAGATAACTCTTGTATGATAATAGTGTCATGTTCACAGCAGTGAAATATCATGTGTTATGTTCACTGCAATGAAAAAAATATCACTTTTCTAAACTTCGGAAAACTCAGTTTTTCACACTGAAGTATTGATACAGAACGATAACTTTAGCGTTTGGGTCATGGGGAAGCTCGACTACTGTCTGCAATAACTGATGGCAGGCCTATCCTATGGACAAGCATTTTAAAGATGCCGCTGTCGAATTGCCTAGTTTCGCAGGATAAAGCCCTACAGGTTATATTTATGTATGCATATTTATTGAATGGGTCCTTTGCAGAACCATGTTCCTATTTCAATGTAACAGAAAAACTAGCAATGTAGCAAACACAACTACACTTCCGGGCAAAAGAAAGTATACACCCATGTTTGATACTGGCTAAACATAAAATGGTTACTAGCATTCGATGGGGATGTATTTGATACGGGTATTATAGTTATGGGGCCTGCAGTGTTTCAGCGACTGTTTTCAGCCTAGTAACAGTATATAACGTTTGTAATGTTTTAGTAAGATCCGGTTTTCAAGTGTATACTTTCTTTTGCCAGACAGTTATAACAGTAAATATATATTTGAAAGCTTTAA